TAGCATGCATACCAAAACTAATTAATTATTCTAATGTTTTCTTTTGGCGGGAAAATCTATTCCCAGTCCCAAGTTCGCAATTACAAACTTATCTGATCAAAACAGGCTTATTCTGACTTTTCCACGCTGTTTTCAAATAGCTCCGGCATGGCGGAACACTTGGCGGATTCTTGTGACTTGCGAACACAAACATGTGGCAGGTTTTGTCGGATAATTTGCAGAAATTCACTTCGAAATTCGTTCAAGTAAAATCCGGATTGAAATTCGATGTCACTTGCGACTGATTGACAAGCATTGCTATGTTTACTTAAGCCTGGTTCACATAAAATCGTCAGACATGTGCCGAATGCAGATTCGCACAGACTGACTGGGACCGGATCGGCGATGGTCGGGAAAGTTGAACTTGGTTCAACTTTCCCGATCCGTCGCAGATCGTTCATATATAAAAATTCGGCACATGTCTGCGACAGTCTGCGACTGCTTAACGATGTTATGTGAACCAGGCTTTACATGTTAATGCATTTTTTAGTATTACTGCATTCCTTAACCTCGCCCTTAATATGAAAGCCATTTCTATTTCCTAGACACGCACCTCGCAAGGTAGCTTTACTGACTATATACTAAAACAAATTGTTTTGAGTTCAGTTCACATAGCAGTCTCTTAATTCGAGCAACTGTTTAATTAATAACTATTATTTTTAACACTTGAATAATTCAAACTTATATATACAGGGCTTTCAGAATTATTCTCAGTAGGTGTCTGTTTTGATAAAGTAGGCAGCTGTTGGGAGAGAGTGATCTAGGGAGTCTTAAAGTCATCTTTATTAATCATTTATTGTATATTGATTAGATATAGCAACATCATTGATTAGACAGCAACACAACTGCATGAGCTCTGTAACCAAATTATAATGTATCACTACTTTCATTCTTCAACAAAATAACTTCAAGATTTAAGATGGCGAATAACTAAATCGGTTTAACGAAATAGTACGTCATTTTCGAAAATAACCAGGCTATAAATTAGACAAGGTTGATGAAAAGTGATCGTGACTAAAACACCACACGAGTACATACGAGTAACATACGAGTAACACACAGGTACATACGAGTACATACGAGTAACACACGAGTACATAGAGTAACATACGAGTACCATACGAGTACATACGAGTAACATACGAGTACATACGAGTAACACACGAGTAACATACGAGTAAAACACAAGTACATACGAGTACATACGAGTAAAATACGACTAGTAAACTTGTTTTTAGTGTTTGTAGATTGAATACAGGCAAAAAGATCGTCTTTTCCGTCGAAAAACGCGGAATGGGGGAACGGGGAATGGAGGAACAGGGAATGGAGGGAACGGAGAACGGGGAATGGAGGAACGAGTAACGGGGGGGGGGATCGAGCAATTATGAATTATTATTAATACGTAATATTAATCATATGTACGGGGGGAAAAGAACAGAAAAAAAGAAACAGAAATTCGACAGGATAAACGGGAATCAGGGAATTACGAAACTATAAAACGGACTCTGGTGTCTTGGGAATTAGAAAACCGCTCAATGAATTAAAACTAGTAAAGAAATTTAGCGAAGCTTTCCTTTATTAGTACAGCGTATCATAAAAAAGTCAATCCACATTGCTTATGTCCGATCATTAAGTAATATTAATGATAACAACATTGCTTATGTCATTACTAATATACTTGCTATATAATAAAACAAACTTAAGGACTAGATGCAAGCCCAAGGGGGTCCTTATGCTCCATATGATATCTTAAAGGAATTATCCTATTTTAAATATATTACAAAGCAAAACTAACAAAACACAAAATACTTCAAAATACGCAGATTTTAAGTTAGCATTTAAGTTGGCAAGTACGTTTCTAAAGGACCCAGCCGAACTCTCCTGCAAGCCTTTGGACGTGCTCCACCTTGAGAAGGGGAGGAAAGTCTGGAGGAACGAGAACGTCGCCAAGAAAGCTTGGATACTTTGCTCTGATGCAGGCTGATCGGAAATGAAAATGCACGTTCTGAGGCTCACTTGAAAACTGGATTTGTCCTGCAGGGCCTTTTTAACATACAAGCTGGAGGGGGGCATTTGCCCCCAGTCTCTCCTTGGGCCCCCCCCACGAAATCACATTTTGCCCCCCCCCCCGGGAAAAGTCCCTTTTTCCTAAATTTATAGAAACAAACCAGCGAAGAATAACAAATTGATAAACGGAACATACGTTTTAGGCTTTATCCTTTGTCCTTGTTTAACAAAATCGATTTAAAGGACAGTGTCACCGCGTGGCATCCTACGTGTTTCTAACACTAAGTAATGATAAATTATTGTTAATATTTTTTAAATTATTTGTGTGTTTTTTCCTTCTTTTATTTTAAATAGAAGTATAGTTAGGATAAATTCTAGAAAATTTAGATGCTCAGACGGCAGGAAATGGCATTTTTGGGCTTGAAATTTCAAAAATTTTCTGGGGAGTTAATGCCTCCAGACCCCCCTATTCATTCGCGGTATGTCGACCACACACGTGACCCACGGCCATTGCTATCCCCCTTTAATAATAAGTAATGGATAAATTATTGTTAAAGGTGATCTACAGTCCGTATGTAAACAAAGCCTTTGTTTACATTTTTGTGTCCAAAATATTGAGCTTTATTCGACAACTATTTATATAGATGCAGTTAGTGAGTTAGGTTTTGTGCATGCTCACAGGGTTTTGAAAGCAAACCATGCTGTGAAATATGTGAAGCCTATGGTTTGTGTCATGTATCTAACTATCTAGGTAGAATACCTAAAAGTAGATGTTGTACAAACTACAAAGTTGTGGTTTATAGAATCTGGCAGACCTCCCCCGCCCCCTGTCTCCTATTTCCTCCCTCCCCCCTCCATTCCCTCCGTTCCCCCACTTCCCGTTCTCCCATTCCCCGTCCCCCCATTCCCCGTTCCGGGTTTTAAAGATAGCCGGTTTCAGTCTATTTCACGTTTTTCGACAGAGAAGACGATCTTTTTGCCTGTATTCAATCTACAAACACTAAAAACAAGTTTACTAGTCGTATTTTACTCGTATTCTACTCGTATGTACTTGTGTTTTACTCGTATGTACTCGTGTGTTACTCGTATGTACTCGTATGTTACTCGTATGTACTCGTGTGTTACTCGTATGTACTCGTATGTACCTGTGTGTTACTCGTATGTACTCGTGTGGTGTTTTAGTCACGATCTATTTTCTATAGCATTTCATTGATGAGTGGGAACGACCAATATGGCCGCCGCCTATTTTCATGGGAGAAACCGCTGAGATTTTTGGCTTCAGTTTTGTATTCCGAGATGCGCTATCTAGTGTATATGAGATATCTATGGTATAGCCAAGTTAGAGTATAAACGTTTCGAAATTTGGGCGAATTGGAAAATTCATGTCGGCGCTATTACAAGTTTCTCGGGTTGTGTTGTGTTTACAGTTTACATTCAGAAGTGGTTGCTCAAACAGCAAATTAGTTTACTTTGAAGCTAATATTTCGCTTTCTAAGCTACAGTATGAAATAAAATTTTCTGTCGTCTGAGTTCTGTTGTCTTAAAGATAAACATCCGTCAAAATTTCAAATTTCAGTGAAAAATATTCGGCATTTGATGCTGTCTGGTCTAGATTCATACAGTATAATGCCATCCTCTCTGCGCTTTCAATATAACCGAACATCTTCAATATCCGAATCTAATCATCAATGGTGCATTTTACTACCTGGACAAGTATGAATATCTTTAAATTCAATTTATGACGTGCAATTTTAGTTAATTTTGACCAAAATTCAACCGACGACTGATTTCAAAATATTTATTTACATTTATTCTGCTCCTAAATCAACTGACGTCACTTTCCAGAATTTGGAAGGTAAATTCTGATTGCTTGACTTAGCAGAATTCATTCTGGCGCTCGGGTACGAATATAACATCCAGCAAGACCTCTGGTGGATATTTTCTCGTACTGCCCTCACTCACAGTGAGCAAGTTGTTAATATTAATTTTGGATATAACATGCACGAGTGAGTTTTTCAAAGACCTCAAAATAGCACGAGTCCGAAGGACGAGTGCTATTTGAGGTCTTTGAAAAACTCACGAGTGCATGTTTATCCAAATTTCACGAGAAACCATGCTATTACTTATTAATAATTTACATAAAAATGTTCGAGACAATTGTAGTTTTAACTTACGCGTTTATAGCGAACATCGAGGCGAACATTCCACTGGCAAAGTTTTCCTGGCCAAATTATATCACATTATACAACGCTAACAGCTTGCAAATTCCACTCAACTATGTAATTTTTGTTAGTCTTGTTTAAGGTAAATGCTTTTCCATTTAAAAATAAAGATAAAAGCCATATTTTCCACGCGAAGGCAACTTTTACTTTGTGTAGCGAGGCGCCATGTTTGTTTTGTTTTCAAGCAATCTGTGACCGTTACTTCTTTAAACTAAATTGCTTTAAACTGATTGGTTGATTTAATCATCACAATGTTTTTCCACCAATCAGATCAGTTTGTTACAGATTTTTGCACTGTGATTACAGAAAATTGCACTGTGATTATGGTGTCCCATCCCCGCCAAAAATCAACTTTTTATTTTCATCACAACTTTTTGTTTGCAACACAACTTTTTGTACACAACATGTAATAATCAACACAACTTTTTATTTTCAACACAACTTTTTTTTCAACACAACTTTTTTTTTCAACACAACTTTTTTTTTCAACACAACTTTTTTTTTCAACACAACTTTTTTTTTCAACACAACTTTTTTTTTTCAACACAACTTTTTTTCAACACAACTTTTTATTTGCAACACAACTTTTTTTTTCAACACAACTTTTTTTTTCCAACCGCAATCCACTAATATATCATGGATCGCGGGCTCGTTTTGTGACCATATATCGCGGGCTTGCTACCGATGTTCTATTTCCTAAAATTCTTCATGTAATCTATGGTATAATTAAAATACACTGATACTATAGTACAGTCGAGCAAAATGGACGATGATGACAAACAATATCTGTTGGACGCAGTTCATAGCGTGATTAATATCCTTGATAGATTTATGCAGTCAGGAGATACTTCGATCGATTTCCAAAGACTTTTATTAAAACTAGACTATCTCCAACGGTTGCTCGTGAATTTGGATGTCGATGATTCAGTTGTTGAACGTGTACAACAAGCATCAAATATTTTGTTTAATCTTGACCAAGCAAACAACGGGAACCCAGAATGTAGCGAAACAGTGCCAGTAGTAAACTGTGGAAGGAGAGGCCGACCAAGTTTCGATATCAAGGAAGACCAATTATCATTTCTTGTAGAAAAGGGATTTAAAGTAGCCGATATAAGCAAGGTGATCGGAGTTAGCCAACGGACAATTGAACGAAGGATGGCAATGTTTGGACTTTCTATTGCAGGTACTCATTGCTGTAGTATCATTTATTTGCTTAAAAGTTTGACATTTGACAATAAAAACTCTTGTCTTGAGCATTGTTTTAATATTTTCATAAAAAACCTCTGGAGCTGCCCACCCTCACAATTGCAATCCCATGCACACAAAGGTATTAATCTGTAAACCCCGTGCTATATATTTTGAAGATATTTTAAATTAAAGTGCTTATGGAACGAAATTTTTACCTCATTTTTTATTGTTTTTCTAAAAAGTATTGCTGGAATGATGAAGAATGACCTTTACAGTCTCTTCATATCTCATCTTTTTCTCAAGTTGTCGCAGTTTCTATATTTATATGTCACAAGTATGACCCGAGATAATGGCAATATTACAAAAAAGTCTTATATCTTAGTGGGTATTTAATAATATTTAATGAAACTTCGAGGGAGTGGTCATTACTTATGGGAGGGGGGGGGGGGAAATTGGAGGGGGTTGGGGCAAACAAAGTAATACCCTTATAAATAGGGGGTCAAAAAAGTTTTAACACAGAGAAAGGGGGGGAGGATCAAAAAAATGTTTGAACTTAAATACCATGTCTAAAAAGACGACTCTGAAAACGCCATTTCCAACGATCTAGAGACTCAGAATTTTCAAAATTTCCCTGCTCGGCACCAACCATGGTAACACCTTGTGGGAGTCAGGCCCACTAAGTTTAACAAGCTTTCAACCCCCTGAGTAACCCAGTTGTGGTATTTACATAAACATACCACACTTAACTGCATAGATGCATTTTCATATTTTTTACTGGGGTGGTGCCAGAAATTTCAGGTGAGCCGTGAGCAGGT